CTTATATTTGTTAGTTACATATAAAATTGACTAGGGGAAATTTGTTTCCAGACTTATACGAAATTGCTGTGTGAGACTAAGTTTTGGATGTTTATGAATATGCACTGCCAAAAAAATGTTATGTACTATGCTTTTATTTCTCAGATACTTTAAGGGCCCTGAACTTCTAGTTGATTTGCAAGATTATGACTACTCATTAGACATGTGGAGTCTTGGCTGCATGTTTGCTGGAATGGTGAGAATAATATAGCTATAGTCTACAACTTGTTATGTGTGACATACCCTTCCTGTTATTTAATATGAAGTCTAATTTTCAATCTACAAGTGCAAGAGCGTGTAATTCTGGGTTATGATCAATTCATGTAGATATTTCGCAAGGAACCTTTCTTCTATGGTCACGACAACCATGACCAACTTGTCAAAATAGCTAAGGTAACATTTATGGTGGTTCAGTTATGTATAAAATTGCAAAATCAACATGTTCACTCTGCAAGTTAATGTCATTAAGTTTCTGAAATTCTGATTAAAATATCCTCTTTTTATTATACGGGGGATCTTAAGTATGCCTGAATTATTTACAGATGTTTTTTACATGCTAAAAGATAGAATTCTAGACGACTTTTCCCCACCTAATGATATTTTAGAGAGATACTTTCTTTCCAGATCTTGAGGTTTTCATTTTCGTTTCGTTTTTTATGTGATCTGCAGGTACTCGGGACTGATGAACTGAACGCATATCTGAATAAGTATCATCTGGAGCTTGATCCTCAACTTGATGCACTAGTTGGAAGGTGTCGTGTTCTGATTTCATTTTCTGTATATGTCATACCAGTTTTAATTTAGTGAATGCACATCTTTTTGTCACAATATCTTCCATGGCAATGAAGTAGTACCTCTCACTCCTAGCTCTCTTCGAAGTTTACTGCTGTTCTTTTTACTTTATCTCTTCATGATAGATATAAGCAGTATTACTATTTTACACATTTGTGTTATGCTGTTACCTTTTGCAGGCACAGTCGCAAACCTTGGTCTAAATTTATTAATGCTGATAATCAACATCTCGTGTCTCCTGAGGTAATTTAATTCATGTTCCATTATTGCAGTGGGACTAACCAAGTAGTTTATACTGTAACTAACCATTCTCTTTAAAGGGTTTTAATTGTTTCAATATATCGAATATGCAGGCAATTGATTTTCTTGATAAACTCCTTCGATACGATCACCAGGACAGGCTTACAGCAAGAGAAGCAATGGTAATAATAAAGAGCTCATTAATTTACCGTAACATGGTTTTAATGTCGTGTAAGTAGCTTAATTTTCACAATATCTTATGATCTTTTGATTTAACATTGTTTGCCTTGATGTTTTCCCGCAGGCACATCCATATTTCTCTCAAGTAAGGGCAGCTGAAAGTAGCAGAATGAGGACACAGTAACTTCGTCATTTGTGGATCCATAAACATATGTGAGATTGTTTTATAATACGCAAACATGTGGTATGGTTGCCTTCTGTTAATTATAGTTCGTTAGATTTGTTGTGGAATGTAACAATATCATGTTGTTCCAGTTGAATAATTTGTTAATCTGTTGAAAAATTAAATTTTATCTTAAAAGAGTTGTTATTACAAACTCTCAAGAACTTTAAGCGTGTTTATTTTTTACTAATGTTAGATGAAAAAAAAAATATTTATTTTCTTTTATTTTTACTTCAATATTACTTTTTATTATAAACTCTTCTAAATGTGAAATAAGCTATTTAAATATCAACGGAGAATTCACGTCTTGACTGAAGTTTACATAAGTTCGAAAGTCACTTTTTAAATTGAATTTGCGAAAGAAATATTTTTCTTCTTTTAAACCGAGTTTCAATGTAAAATTAAGGTAAATCTCCATCAAACAAGCATTTTTCAGTTTCATTTTTGAAGTATTACGAGTTCGATCTGAAAAACCAAAACATGCTCGTGTTTTTTTTAATCCAAATTTGTTAGCAGTCTGCTTATTAACAGAAGGATGAAGCAGATGCGTGTCACCTCTTGAGTGATACCTGATCAGACAGACATCACTGCCAATCCTGTATCTCCTCAACAGAAGTCTGCAATGCATCGTGGCAGGAAATTCCTTGAATACCCCTCCCCCATCTTATTATCACTGCAGTTTTTATTTTTTTCAAAAATTATGATTTCACTCATGTTCTCATTTTTTAATAAAATGTGAATATTTTTATTTTTAATTTGCTTCCATCTAAGTTATACTGTCAATGTTAAATATGAAATAGATAAGAATATTTTTTGAGAAAATAAAATTATTTAAGTATAATTATTTTAATAAATAGCATCTATCGCTCTTAATCTATATATTAAAAAAAAAACTTTAAATTACAATATTTTAGAGACTGGAGAAGGTATCATAATGTGTTACTTTAGAACTAGAGGGCATGATTAATCTAGAAGAAAATAAAGTTGGATAATAGTATGTTTGTTACAGACAAAAATTAATGAAAATAAAATGAATAAGTGAAACATAATAAAAAAATAAAGATAATTTATTAGAAAAATAGAGAAAAAAAATGAAAGAGAGATAGTAAAAAATATATGAAAAATAATATTTATATGTATATTCTTTAAAATTATTTTCCTTCTATTCTCGTCCTTACATAAAATCCTCTTGTTCTCTCAACAAACACGTTTAACCAAAGTCACTATTTGACTTTAGTTTCTTTATCAAGGTGGTAATTAGGATGTCAATATGGGTTCTAACCCATGAGTCAACCCGGTTTACCACGGATTCGAGACGGGTTGGGTTTGATTTTTTTATTTCTACTTATTATAGGCTAAAAATAAACCCGGCTCACTTAACACACGGGTTAAACGGGTTCGAGCCGGGTTATGGTGGGTTAGCCCGTAACCCACCATTAATTTTAAATTTTTAAAATAATTATAATAATATATTAACCCTAATTAATCATTTATTTTAAATTTTAAAAATAATTATAATACTTTAGTAATCCTAATTGATGTTATCATGTCTTACTTTTATCCTATATTATTGGTTGTCGTCACAAGTCAAACTCTCACTTAAACTTGTTATCAGTTGTACCACTACGTTTGTTGTTGCACTTGAGTCACTTGTCTTATTATCTCTCCACCACACCACTACACCATGTCCATCTGTATTGCTTTCAAAGGTAAGAATTTGTTTACCTAAACTATTGGATTGATGAATATTTATTTGAAAATTGTAGCATCTATACATTATTTGTTGTTTGTTATTGATTTATATGTATATCTCTTTAATATATGAATTTTTGACTTCTTTCTTTTAAATTAATTTACAGTATGGAATTTAAAATAATACATCAAAGTGTCAATGTAAATTGTATTGGTAATGATTTTATTATTAATGAAAAACTCAATGAGCCAATTTTAGTTAATAACGAAGATACTGATATTGAGAAAGAAAGAAAACATAAGTTTCTACGTCCGAAATTTCTATATAATTAAAAAAATATGGATTAGTGAGTCAATCCACCAACCCGTGATGGGTTAAACCGGTTTGTAAAATTTCTGACTCATCAAAAAATGAGTCGGTTGAACTCACTTATTTTCGAGCTAAACCCATGGTGAGTCATTGATTCCAACAAGTTATGAAGTCATGATATGCCACAAGTTCCCAATTAAACTTTATTTTCTCATGTCTTTATTTTATATTGGTAGGCATAAGTTTAGGAATAAAAGTTTAATATTACGAAGTAAATGATATGCCACAAGTCCAGAATTAAACTTGTCAGTTGAAAAATAACCCACAGATAAATATAGGCATCTCAAATAAAAAAACTCATATAAATGGTTTATTATTTTAAGAAAAATAAAATAAAAAATTATAATGTTGCATCATTTTTAAATAAGTTATTACTAATTTTATTCTAATAATTTTTTTATTTTATTAAGTTTTGTAAGGAACTTAATAATTATAAAAAAATTTAAAATAATTTATCATGTTTTATAAAATTTCTATAATAAAAAATTACTTCACACAATTATAAAAAATAATATCTCGAATAAAACAACTTAATTAATTTTATTCTAATATATATATATATATATATATATATATATATATATATATATATATATATCAACTCATTTTCTTTATTTTTTTAATATTAAAAATGAAGTCCAATATTTTAATAAACAAGTCTTATTAAAAATATTATGAGAACATATTCAATATTTAAGTAAAATATTAACGGTTTTAAACAACTTTTCATTATAATCTTATATGTCATATTAAGTTATTTAATTTTTTTTATAATTATTTCATTATACAACTTAGAAAAATAAATAAAAATTTATAATAAAAAAGAGAATGAATTTTTTAAAATTTATTAAAATAAAATCATCATAAATTATTTAACAATGACACATCAAATCCATATTTTACATTTTTTTAAGATAAAAAAAATAATAATTCAAGATCCCATGAGGCATCGTTTAAAGAAGACCCATCATTAAAAAGCAAGTTAAACTTTATGTAATTTAATTCATGTAATTTAACTCGCTCAAATTTCTTATCCAAACACACGAAATCCAATTTATAATATCACCAAGTGAAAATTTTGCCAAAGATGGCTGGATCGTAAGATCACCTACTACCTACTTAAAAATTGTGTGGTGCCAATTGTCAAAAGGCACAGCGCATCCAACCTTGTGCAGGCTAGCAAGCATTGAAAGAGACATAGAGTCAAACACTTGATGTAATCTATGATTCTGTAATAAGCTTAATATTAACAGTAACGATCATTCACAAGTTACAATTCGACAAATAAAAGAGAAAATTAACACAGTTTCTCACACTTGAACAATGGAAAAACGTACTAATCATCCCCTCTTCTGTCTCACTACCCCCATAACACAAACACACATATATTCGACATAAAAGAAATAGCTCTCTGTGGCTATGTAAAACATATCATATTGATATCATGTCTCAACATGCATTCGCTCACTTTTTAAGATGAGGAAAACAAGCATAGAGATCAGATTTGGGGTGTTTGGCTTCAGCATGCTCCTTGCACTTCACTTCTGATGTGGTGCACATAAATGTTTGCATGCACACCTTACACTGCAATCATCAATTACAACATTATAGTCAGTAAAGGGATCCATCATTATCTTATAAATACTAACAAAAAAAGGCTTATCCAAACATAGTCAAATTCATTTATATTTCTTATCAAAAAGTTTTACCGTCTCAGTTAAAAGCATATATTAGTAGCCAAAGAGAATGCCAATCAAATCTTTGTTGAATTTCCAAAAATACCAATTGCTAAATATATGCATAAATATTGGGATGAAAGATTACGACCAGAATCTTTTGGACAGATTTCTCTCATGAAGGGAAGGAATAAAAGACGTCCTAATAAGTATTTAGAGTCTATTTCCAAACAAAGCTAGAAGAACTTTTCTACTGGAAGCTCCGGAAAGCCGTCCTAGCTTGTATCCAAACAGACCCTCATGCATTTGGGTGTTAACCTCCCACAAAGCCTTATAAAATCTTCCCAGGTTGAACTCGTCATAATTTTCAAAGCTTCTCATTGCAGGCCATCATATCAAATAGCCCTCTAATTGGACAATGTTCGAGGGGTTGTCATGTAAGATAAACAACAAAACCGAGGAATTTTACCTGAATGTTCATGGCTTTCTTGTTTGAATCCAACTGGCTTCCTGCAAATGATTATTAAAATCAATAACTACATCAGATCTAACACATATATCCCCAATTATTTTCAAGAGAGATGTTTTATCTTCGAACAATTTTGGTTTACTCCTTAAACGTAAGAAATTCGGAAAAAACGGGAGAAAGAGAGATTACCCTTTCCCGCAGCCTTTTGCTTCTCAATGTTCTTCTCGCGAGCCATCTTAGACTTTTGGCCATTGCCTCCTCCCATGGGTGAGACCCGAAACACAAAACCCTAACTTTTCTCACAGGATTTGAGTGCTGAGTGTGGAAGCAAGAAAACAAAGAACGGTTTCTCTATTATTACACGAGAGGATGCGGAAGTGATTCTCACACGCAATTTAAGGTCGATTGGATTAAGTTCATTTTTTTATAATTGATTTTAATTTCCATTCAAAATAAAAAAAATAACTGTTTTATTTTTATTTTTTAAATATGATTTTAAGTATCAAAATTGATTTTCGTATTCAATGATACGTTGATTTTTTTTTCTGATAGTAATTCTTTTTCATCTCTAAAAACATTAAAAAATTATATATAAAAATATAAAATTTTAATTTTAATTTAAAGTTTATTATTTATGATAACTTTTGAAAATAAGTGTTAATTTAACTTGACATGTTAGTGACTTTCTTCTCACATTTTTTTTATTTGAATGCCATATGAAGAAATTTAAATAAAAAATCAAAAGTTATATAATAAGTTGAGTTTTGTTAAATATATTTAGTTTTATTTTAATTCTTTTTTATGATTCATTTTTAGTATTTTCATTATAATTATTTAATCCTTGTACGTTTGTGTGTTTTGATAGGTTATTGGTTTGATTTTGACGTTACATGATAATTATATCAATATTTTTGTCTAATATATCTATTTGTATATTTTATTTATTATTTATTTGATTTTAAAAAATTATTTTAAATTAATTATTATTCAAAAGAATTTTATTCAAATCTTGTTTCTAGCGTTAATATGCATTTTCAAGTATAATAAAAAAATAAATAAAGTTCTCACAACGATAATATTATCTAAGGTTGAAAGAAGGTTGTATTATCGTATAACGTTTAAAAATAACTGAAAATAAACACTAAAATTATTTAAACAAAATAACAAAAATCAATATTTATCTCAATCAAATATTAACTTGTCTTTTCTACAAGACGGAAAAATAACTTGAGGATAATCTTTTATCTTCAACAAACCAGTGGGTATTAGGGATAAATAACAGAGATAAAAGATGTCTCATAAGAGAAAATTAAAATAACCATGCCTAATAAATATCACACAATTGAGTTTATGTCATTTTGCCCTTTAAAAAAAATTGCGTATATGTTAAAAAATAAAAAATTGGAATTATCACACCTCCTCCGTCCTAATATAATCTGCCATTGACTAAAATGATATTTTCCTTCTTTTCTTAGAAAGTTGTTAGTATGTAATTGAATAGAAGGTAAATTACGTAATTTATTGGATGAAACCTCTTATTTTTAGACATAAATATAACTTTACTTCTTGTTGTTTAACTCATTTATATTTTATATTTTTATTATTTTTCCTTTCAATTTTATTAATATTTTGTTGAGGTGTAAAGATCGGTCAAAGATAGGAAACTTCCTCGTAAGTTCCTGGTCAAAGGAAGGCTACTTCCTTGCAACTTCCTGGTCAAAGGAAGGCTACTTCCTTGCAACTTCCTGGTCAAAGGAAGGGAGCTTCCTTGCAACTTCCTGGTCAAAGGAAGGGAGCTTCCTCTCAACTTCCTCTCAAGAAGGATTTGTTTGGCTATAAATACCTCATTTTGTAACCTCATTTGTATCCAATCCAAGTGTGAAGAAAGAGTAGAGAGAGTGTATTCATACGGGCTTGTGTGAATTGTAACATTCGGTTTATCCTCTTATTCTAGTTCATTCTCCTGGCTTGGTTCGCCCCCAGATGTAGGATTTAATCCGAACTGGGTTAACAAATATTCGTGTCTTTTATTGATCTCACATTGGTGTATTATTATTATTCCATCTTATCCGACCTTATTTCCCAACAACTGGTATCAGAGCCAGGAGGTTGGAGATAAGATGGAGGGAAAGATTCAAGTCGAACGGTTCAATGGTTCCGACTTTGGATTCTGGCGAATGCAAATGGAGGCTTACCTGTACGGGAAGGACCTCTACGCACCTCTTGGGGAAAAACCCGAGAAGATGAGCGATGATGAATGGAAGGTGCTCGATCGGAAGGCGATGAGTGCTATAATTCTTTCGCTCTCTCGGAACGTCGCCTACCATGTGAAGGGAGCAAAAAGCACGAAGGAGGTCTTGCAGATACTCGCCGACATGTATGAAAAACCATCAGCAATAAACAAGGTGATGCTGATGAAAAAGCTGTTCAAATTGCAAATGGAGGAGCGAAAGTCAGTGGCCGATCATCTCAACGATTTCAACCAACTCACTACGCAGTTGGCATCGGTGGATATTTCGTTTGATGATGAGGTAAAAGCCCTAATCTTGCTCTCATCATTGCCGGACAGTTGGGACGTGGCTGTTACTTCGGTGAGCACTTCTTCTGGCAAGGAGAAGATGAAGTTCGACAACATAAGAGATATGATGTTGAACGAGGAGACCCGCAGAAATCAGGCGGGTGGGTCGTCTGGCTCAGCCCTACATACAGAGTCCAGAGGGAGACCCGAAACACGAGGGAAAATCCGTGGGAGGTCAAAATCCAGGGGAAGGAATAAAGGCAAGAAAGAGATGGTGTGTTGGAACTGCGAGAAGCCTGGGCATATGAAAAGCGAATGCCGGGCACCAAGGAAAGACAAAGAAGGTCGGACAGCCAATGCCGCGACGGAGGACACGGCGGATGCACTCTTGTTGAGTGTGAGAAGCTCGCTCGATGACTGGATCGTGGACTCAGGGGCCTCATTTCACTCATGCAGTAGCAGAGACATCATGGAGCCATACACCGCAGGTGATTTTGGCTTGGTATATCTTGCAGACAACAAATCCCTAAAAATTGTAGGGAAGGGAGATGTGCAGATCAAGTCCGCAAATGGGTCATGCTGGACCCTACGTGATGTGAGACACATTCCAGGACTGAAGAGGAATCTCATCTCAGTTGGACAGCTGGACAATGACGGCTTCCACACAATGTTTGGAGACGGAAAGTGGAAGGTCAGCCGAGGAGCTATGACTTTGGCAAGAGGGCTGAAGTCAGGAACGCTTTACACGGCGAGTAGATCCAGCTCAAACATTCTCCTGGCAGGAGTTGTCTCACAATCGCACTTATGGCACAGTCGCTTGGGCCACATGAGCGAAAAAGGAATGAAGGTACTAAAGTCGAGAGGACTTTTGCCCGAGTTGGAGTCAGTGGACGTGGGTCTCTGCGAGCAATGCGTGCTTGGAAAGCAGAAGCGAGTGAGCTTCATAACCACCGGAAGAGCTCCAAAGACAGAAAAACTGGAGCTAGTGCACACTGACTTATGGGGGCCAGCACCGGTGACATCTCTTGGAGGATCGATGTACTACATGACGTTCGTCGATGACTGCACAAGAAAGGTATGGGTGTACTTTCTGAAAAGAAAATCCGAAGCCTTTGATACTTTCAGGAGATGGAGAGCACTCGTGGAGAAAGAGACAGGTCTGGAAGTGAAATGTCTCAGATCCGACAACGGTGGCGAGTACAACAGTGAAGCCATCAAAGAATACTGCGCTGATCATGGGATCCGGATGCAGAAGACGGTCCCAGGGACACCTCAACAAAATGGCATTGCGGAGAGGATGAACAGAACACTGAATGAGCGTGCGAGATGCATGCGATTGAAGAGTGGACTGCCCAAGATGTTTTGGGCAGAAGCAGTCAGCACGGCCGCTTTCTTGATCAACCGGGGGCCTTCTGTCCCACTGAACAACAAAATTCCAGAAGAGGTCTGGAGTGGTAAGAAAGTTGATCTCTCTTTCTTACGTACCTTTGGTTGTTTGGCTTACGTTTTGAATGACGACCGGACAAAGCTGGATGCTAAGTCCGTCAAATGTACATTCATTGGATATGGGACTGACGAATTTGGGTATAGATTTTGGGATGATCAAAATCGGAAAATTATTCGCAGTCGTAATGTGGTGTTCAATGAAGGCATAATGTACAAGGACCGGAAGGAATACCTGGACGATGACAAGACCATGCAGGAGTATGTTGGTCTCGATATTTCAAATACCGGAATCATGAGACCAGCAGATACAGTGGGAGCTCAGATAGATGAGATCGAGCGTACAGAAGAAGAGGCAGAACCAGAATCAGATGAACCGATTGCTGAGAGCAGCACGCCTCTGGCACTGGGCCGAGAACCGAGGATGAGAAGGGCCCCGGATAGGTACTCCCCTTCTCTTTATTACCTACTTTTATCTGATTCTGGGGAACCCGACTGTTATGCAGAGGCAGTTAAAGATGCCCACAAGAGCAAGTGGGAGCTTGCGATGGAAGACGAGATGAACTCGTTGAAGAAGAACCACACATGGGATTTGTGTGATCTCCCACAAGGAAAGAAGGCTCTTCAAAACAGATGGGTCTATCGGGTCAAGGAGGAATCAGATGGAACAAAACGGTACAAGGCCAGACTTGTAGTAAAGGGATTCCAACAGAGATACGGTATTGACTTTACCGATGTTTTTACACCTGTTGTTAAGTTAACCACTATACGTTTAGTGTTAAGCATCGTAGCGGCGGAAAACTTGGAGTTGCAACAGTTAGATGTGAAGACGGCCTTTCTGCATGGGGATCTCGAGGAGGAAATTTACATGGTGCAACCAGAGGGATATAGAGGAAATGATCAGCAGGTCTGTCGCCTAAAGAAGAGCTTGTACGGACTGAAACAGGCTCCTCGACAGTGGTACCGAAAATTCGATAATTTCATGCTGGAGATAGGATACTCCAGGTGTAATGCTGATCATTGTTGCTATGTGAAGAAGTTCGGTAACTCTTTCATTATTTTACTGCTATATGTGGATGACATGCTGATAGCAGGATCAGATGTCAAGGAGATCGAGAGGCTCAAAGATCAGCTATCAAGGAGATTTGATATGAAGGATCTAGGAGAAGCGAGACAGATACTGGGCATGAAAATCACGAGGGACAGAAATGCTGGTAAACTTTGGCTTTCTCAATTTGATTATATTGAGAAGGTGTTGTGCAGATTCAATATGAATATTGCAAAGTCGGTTCGAGTGCCATTGG